GATCACCTGGATAGCTGAATTGGATATTCAGTTATGAAGCCACTGTGATACCCCCCCCCCCACATAAAAGTTTTACTTATAATTACATGTACAATGTATATCTGTTTATTTTACTTCTGTCCTGTTCTCATCATATGCTAAATAATAATAATAATCCACTTTATTTCTCCTTTTCCAGGGGTGGGATTCTACCAGTTCGCACCTATTTGCTAGAATCGGTTGTTAACATTCTAAGCAGTTTGGAGAACCGGTTGTTAGAAGAAATTACTGGCCTAATCCTGTAAGGAAGACAGGAAGGAAACATTCTGGTGTTGCTTACAGAAACTGCCTCTCCGTTAACCCTTATTACATTCTTGGCAGGAGTAGACTTCCTGTCTCAGGAACATCTCTGGAATTTTCCCCTCTCCTTTGCTGGTACTTTGCTTGTGTGGAGTGACCATTCAAAGTTACAATGGCACTGAAAAAAGTGACTTATGACCATTTTTCACACTTATGACTGTTGCAGCATCCCCACAGTCATGAGAGGCCAGGCGAGGAGATATGTGGCTCGATGTGAGTGATATTGAGTTGGCCACACCCAGCTAATAACATGACCACCAAGCCACGCCCACCAACTTAGCCACACCCACAGAACCGGTTGTTAAAAAAATAGAATCCCACCCCTGCCCTTTTCCCTTTCTCCTTTTTGGGAGGTTTATAACATACATTCACAACCTGAAGACTGGGTTTCCCTCTCTCTGGGTAGCCAATTCAAGAATCCCTCCCCCCCCGCCCAATTGCAATAGATGTGGACACTGCAGCATAGCAGGCAAAAGAATTATATGCAACAGGGAGGTTCATACTAAATTAACAGCAAGCCTTTCTGCCCATCCTTAAGCCCTTCAAAAGCAATAACAGCATGAAATGAGTTCTCCCCGTCGCCAGTCCCTGTCTTGTATTTATCCCCTCTATTCCCAGTAACTGTACTTCCCTGACTTCAGACACAGCACACAGAATGAATATGGCAAACCTTGAAACAGCCTTAAATCAATATTTATATGGCTTTATTGTATATTGTTTAAAACTTAATCTACAAACACACCATTTGTCCTATAGCAAACATGACAGGGTTAGAGGAACAAAGCAAAAAGAGAGACTCTGGTGACAGAGAAAAAGGAAAACCAGGTTCAGTGTATTTGTGCTGGCTTCTCTTTCATATGGAATTAATGGTGGTTTAATGGGGTATGAAAGAATGTTTTACTGGAAACAATGAGGAACAATTGTCTAGCTCACGTTTCATTTCACAGGTCATTATTGCATTAAGAAGTAAATCGACCAAGTCCGGTAAATAACAGTCTGGGTATTGCTGAAAGCTTCAAACCAAACAATCTTACAGTTTTCACCTAATATCTCTGTCATTTTTAACCCTTACAGAGATCAGCTGCAGGCTAAACAATTATTATCTTCACTCACCCCTGGCAGGTAAGCATTATTCATTTTACCTTCTCTAGCAAGCCCCACCAGGCAAAGAGTTTTGCATTGTTGTTTTGTTTATTAGACAGGCTAGCCAACTGTTTATCTGGTGGCCTTGAAAAACAACACAACTTTTAGTGAGTGCTGCAGGCATCTTTAAACGGGCTGCTTCCTCTGCAAAATTAATTGTTGCAAAACACAGCACTTCTTCTGTGTCAAGTACTGCGCACTGACACTCAGCAGTTTGTCTTCGTTATGGATATGCCAGGGAAATTTAGGGCAATGCCATTCTTCAAGTTCACATGCAAATCCTGTAAAGAGTGAGGCTTATACACTCTTGAGAAGGCCGACCTTGTTACTTACTTAATTTTCATCTGGGAACTATAAAGTCTAGCTGTCCTGTCTCCCATCTCTCAATGTATAAGCAATTACTGTACTGTTCTTTGAACAACATCAGTCAAATAGATTAATCTTAAATTCTTCTGAGTTCTCTTTTTCACCCTATTTAAAATTCATTTCTGACACATCCTTATGAATTCAGAACAGATGTCTAGAATTTAAGAATTATTTCCATTCACATGTTATAACTTTTCAGGAGGAATTCTTTCTGCTAAATCCATTCTCTTCATTTTTCAAACATCCATCTTATCTCTCAGTTATCTCACAGTCCAAGGAACCAGAACACCGCTCAAAGCTGGCTGAAAATTAGTGACCCCTATGACAAATTAAGGGTAATTGTATGTTGTTTTTTCTTTCAAACGTACATTTTAAAATTCTTACTTTGAATTTATTATGTGCCATTAAGTGATTTTTCAACTCCTACCAACCACATAGATAGATTTTCTCTGTGACAATCTTTCCCTAACCTGTTCTTTCAGGTCCAGTTTGAATGGACATATAGTTTTTAATATCCATGCAGTGTATAAAAAGGTCCTTGGAGGGTTTTATATGTAAGAAGTCCTTGACATACAACATTTGTTTAGTATCCATTTGAAGTTACAACGGCACTGAAAAAAGTGACTTAGGAGCATTTTTCATACTTATGGCTTTTGCAGCATCCCCATGGTCACATGATCAAAAATCAGATGCTCAGCAACTGGCATGTATTTATGACGGTTGCGGTATCCCAGGGTTATGTGATCAGCTTTTGTAACCTTCTCACAAGCAATGTCAATGGGGAAGTCAGATTCACTTAACAACTGTGCTACTAAATTAACACCTGCGATGATTCACTCAATAACTGTGGCAAGTAAGATTGTAAAATGGAGCAAAACTCACCGAACAACTGTCTTGCTTAGCAATGGAAAGTTTGAGCTCAACTGTGTTCGTAAGTCAAGGACTGCCTGTAGGTGGGGGGTTAGCAGCCTTTTCCGTGATAATACAGAAGCATTCTGGAAAATGTTTTTAACTTCCCTGCAGGCCCCCTTGTTCAAAAATTAACTTTTCTTTTGTGTATTAGAGGATATTGCTCCTCAAAATTATTCTGGTTTTTCTAACATTGTATTGTGTTGATTTGGTTGGTTGGTTGGTTATGATAGTAGGGGGAGGAAATCTAGTTAATATCTCTTTCCTGTTCTAACACTTCTCAAGGTACATATAAAACAGTCATGATAGCAGGAAAACAGGAAAAACTTCAGTTGCTCTTAGCTCCACTATGTATTGTAGACCATACCAAGAATCAACTTCACAGGGAAACTAAGTCTACTTTTATGGAGAAGGGCTATAATGAAAAAATGTTACCAGTCTGATTGTGCTGTACTTCTTGCGTTTTATATTCATGTGAATATGAAGATTTCTGTCTGAGTCTCTTTGCCATATTTTCTGTCTGTTTTTGGATTTAAGATTTGCTTTTCCCTTCATTGCTCTGGTAACTGTACTCATCCTCAGTATCTCCATCAGTGTCATCTTGTTTATGCTCTACAATTGCTTTACACAGATAAAGAAAGCACATCCCCAACTCAGGAGTATAGATCAGTAGTTATCAGGAAAGGACATTTTCTTGTATGGTGTTATTTTTCATTATCTCAACATTTCACCAAAGAGTTATCATATAATATGCAGCATAAAAATCGATGCCCCCAATTAAAGCTTGATACATATAAAAAGTTAACTAATATACCAGAAAAGAAAAATATGGTGATAAAGCATCTCATTTGTTTTCAGAATTGAACTTCCAGGAATGAATACTTTGGGATTCACCAAAAAGTAGTGCAGCCGTTAAGGGATATATTATAAAGCACTTCTATAAATGATGGGTCATTAAAATTCAGGAGATATGATTCCTGTCCATGCTTGAAAATGAGAACCCAATAAACAAAGAGGTTTCCAAGATGTACAAGTACATTTGAGATAGAGGTGGATGATCAATTTCTTCTTCTTTTAAAAAAAAGGTTTTTACTAATGACACTGATTATAGCTTTTACTAATGACACTGATTATTAGCTCAATGTCAAATCCTTCTAAGGGATTTTCTCAATAACTTCCATATATGTCCTTTTCTAGAAAACTCTTCTGGAAATTCTTAAAATGGCAAAGATGGTTGTTTTCTGATGACAAATCAAGAAACTTATAGCCTGATATGTGCATGAACATAAAGAGTGATTAAACCTGCCTTTAAAGATGTATTTGATGGACCTTGGTGTCTGACTTTGACTTGTGATTCATAATCAGGTCAACAAAAGTAGGGGGTAAGATCATGTCTGTGCAACACAGTGAATTAATCAGCCCTCTAAGCAGCCTCTAAGACAGATCTGTAGAGAAATGCCTTTCCTGGAAGACATTAGATGTTTTATTTAAAGATTGAACATTTTGTTTAAAGATTAAAGTTCTTTTTGTGCTTAATCGCTTTCCAGGGCAAGATGGAAAATGGGATTAATTACAGTCTCCTGCATTAAGCTCCTATCCAGCAGAAGTCACAAACGATGTAACTTTTCTGCAAAATGGCCACCATCATGAACAGCAGGCTCCAGAGATACTAATTGTAATTAAAGAGTTTATCTGGAGTCGCAGCACAGTCTTAATCAGGATGTCAACCGAGCCTCACTGCATGCACTTACAGCACATGGCTGTATAACAAAATAGCTCTTTTGAAAAGGCAGTTTACTCTAAAAAGTCTGAGCAGGACTTGATGCCGGCGGGCCTACCATTCTCTGTGGGATTCACACAAAATCTTATTAGGTCAATTGTTTAGAAAGCATCTCTCATTAAGGGATTTCAAAACGCTTGTGAAAAGTGAATAAAATTACCTTGCTCTATTGAAGAATAAATGTGGACCGGGCTGCCATTAATACATATAAAGGTTATGTTGAATTAAGTTACTTGCCCTGGAACTAGGAGAGACATATACAATTGGAAACTGTACCCCTGAGACAAAGAGTCTAAATTCTTTATTGTCATACTGCCATCTTTCTGGAATAAAGATACCAAGTATATATCCAGGAATAATTGTCTTCAAATGCCCACAGTAGCACTGGATTCCTTTTAAGTTCCTCTCTCTCACACATATAAAATTATTCAGTATTGTTGTCTACCCATGACTAACAACTTACCAGCATCCTGGCATGCTTGTTCCCAATCCAATTCTGATTTTTGGAAAACTGATACAGGTGAATCCAATCCTAGAGCACTTCCATCCAAATCTTTGAAAAGAGCTTTCCTTGAGCTCCCACATATCGCATTACCAGATGAGCCAAGTATTGATTCATTTATTCTGACAAGAAAGGTAGAAAAATGAGACTTCGGAGAACTCAGCACAAGGAACATACCAAACACACCAATTACTGATATACATGTAAGTTAAATAGGAGACAGCATAATAGTGATAAAGAAAAGGTCTCCCCTGTCCAGATGTCTGACTCTAGGGCAGCGGTCTGCAACCATAAACACTCAAAGAGCCATTTGGGCCTGTTTCCCACAGAAAAGAAAACACCGGGAGCCAATAATTTAACAACTGGTGTGACTGGGTGGGTGTGGCCAACTCGATGTCACTCCCTCCCACCCAGTCACATCCTGCTCTGGAATAGGAAGCGAGTCTCCATCCCCTGCCATCACCTTTCTCAGGCCAGGTGAGGAGTGACGGGGAGGAGAGGTGCCAGCCTGTGGTGGGATCAGCCGACAGGGAGCCGCAGCAGAGGACCACAAGAGCCGCATGTGGCTCCAGAGCCGCAGGTTGCAGACCCCTGCTCATCTCTGTTTCTTAGCCGAGGGAGCCATCATTGTCCAAAGACGCTTCCAGGGTCATGTGGCCAGCATGACTATACACTGAGGCATAATGCAATGATATATTTTGTTTGGAAAACTGTTTAATCCATTACTTGATGTTTGTATGTACACTATGAGATTATGCATATTCTATTCTATTCTGTATTCTTTTAACTGGAGCTGAAATAAGAAAAAACAAGAAGAAAAAACAAGAAGTAGGAGAAAGCAACTCTAAGAAAAACAAATCACCAATGGTTTTACAGATTATAAATATGTCAAACAAAATATTGTGGAAATCTCAGCAAGAGTTATCCAAAGTGAGTTAGTTATAAGTGATTGTAAGTGTACCTCATTTGCAGTGGATGAAAATGGAACATATTTTGTTCCCTGATATGGAACATTCTGGTCTGCTCAGATGTGATCAGATGCAAGATGCCTCCGTGTCCTGGATTTGTCATGATGCAGATGTCTTGGTCATCAGTATAGCAACTCTTTTTAAAACCATCGAAGATTATATCTGATAAAGGGAAAGTAAAAACACTGTAGGAAAATGGCAGCACCCAACTAATTTACATAGAGAACCAGTTTGGTCTAGTGGTTAACTTTAGAAAGTAGAAGACTGTAAATTTTAGTGGTATAATCTTGCTACTTTAATTGTTGATAGCACTGTTTTTCACTTTTTTGACACTTTTTTAAAAAGGTCAACTAGAAGTAGAAATTAGAGGTAAAATTTGTTTAACATCACCTAGGTTTGCAACCCCCCCCCCCTTTTTAAATAAAAGATTCATGTTTTAGGATTCAGTTAAAGTTCTCATTGACTCCTGTGAGAAATTTATGTCTTGGGGGCTTACTGAATTGATACTTCAATGTTCTGTCTAAAATTATTCAAAATGTCTTCATTTCTGTTTTCAGGAGAAAATCTTTAGCAAAATAAACAGTTGTGTCAGTTTTCCTTCTATTTCTTAGAAGGACAGGAGAAACTAGTAGTTGTATATAGATACTATGCTAAAAACATGGTTTAGTTCAAAAGTAACCATGTCCTCCGTCTGTTCTAAACACCAGATCTCATCAGCTCCAACTGTCATGGCAAATAATTTGAAGAGTTGTAGTTCCAAAGTTCTAAAGAGAGCCCATTTCTATCCCTATTTTAACAAGACATGAACAAGGAAAAATTAATGGCATCAGGCCATGAATTTCTCTTTTACTTTCTTACCTTTCCTACAGAGCCAAAGAGGAATTATGGTTAACTACAGCAAGCAATGTCAACTTGGCCTATAATTAATTGTATTTAGCTACAATTATGGATAATTTAAGCAACCCAATATGTTGCCATGATTAAACAAGCCGGTTATTTTAAAGTGAATTATTTAAAATTAACATTTTTTTCTTTTACTTTTTTTTCTTCTTAATGGTTTTTCCTCAAGGACAGGGTCCATTTTTTGGATCAATCAAGTGTTGATCCATTGATTGGGACAGGAATTGATTTATTTTGTCACTCAAGGTTACGTCATGGGATGCGAAGAGTGACTAGCCCAGAGTCACCCAGGCAGTTTTCACAGTCTCCTCATTTCCAGCCTGATGACTTAACTAGACAAAACTGGCTCTCTTAACAATATTTCATATTAATCATGTTAATTTGTCTTGGGGAGAGTATGCAAAGCCACATCCCCATTTATTCATGTTAGATCAGATTAATCTAGTATGTACAAACTAGTGAATATATAATATGTTCATAGATTCTCCTGCTACCCATGAGATTGGGTAAACACACACACAAACACACAGAGACACACAACCATTTTCATCAGAAGGATATAGACAGATTTATTTGGGTTTTTTTTCCATTTAAATGAGTCTTTTCTTCCATAACCATTTTACAGTGAGAAACATTGTTATTACATAATTGTATATTTTATGGGACAAATTCTTGGTCCCTCAACTACAACTACTTTTTCTTTTTTTGCTTGGTGTCATTTTAAAAAAATCTTAACAATTTTCTGTTGATTATTTTAGAAAAAGTATACATACGTATCTTGAAACAGAGCAAAATTGTCACAAAGTCATGTATTTTGACCTAAGACTGTATTAAAGTTTGGATTTAGATACAATAGTATACAAAATCAGGATCAGCTGCTTTTGAAATTAGACCATTTCTAAAAATATTCACAGGACTGGGCCTTGGTCAGTTATAATCTGCAGCACCATAATAAAGTTTTTTTTTTTTTTAATAAAATATGTGAGGTTCCTAAAAATTCTTTAAATAACATTTTAACATCCAAGCACCATTTGTAGTTCCAGGATTTAATATTGTATGTATTATTTCACTATTTATTAGACCACATTGTTTATTAGCTCTTAAAGTACTAACCTTGTAGAGTTGTGACTCCCATAACTATTGAATAGTTTCTTATTTTATGCCATGGAGCATCAGGCCACCAATTACAGTCCAAAGTAAAAGATGGCCATAACATGCCAATTCGGCCCCTCCAGGGATTACGTGGAGCTCGATCTGTAATTGTCACATTGGCTGAAAGAGGCTGGATTCTGTCTTTGATGCAATCAAAGGAAGTGCTAGTAGCCACAAAGACAGAGTTTCTTAGTTTCAGATGCTGTTTTTTCTGGTGACAGTGAAGCTTAGCAGATGGTCCATAAAGTACTGGCAAGAGTCCTACAACATTGTCCACCAATATCATCTTTTCAACTACTACACTTCCTACAAGATGAAACATTATCCCATAGTCATAGTTTTTGTAAGACAAAAAGCCTGTAATTTTAGTACAGTTTGGAAAGCCATCTCCTTTATATAAATGAACCCCATGAAGGCTTGAATGAGCTACATTGCCACTATAAAGATCCTCTGCTGAGAAACATTCTTGACCTTTGATATGAAAGGCTATCCGTTCCGAACCAGCCACACTATTATTATGTAACATAACACTTTCTACTGCATTTGTTTTGATGCCAGCAATCCAGAACTTCGAGGTCCCTGGTTGTTTGATTAAGACAACAAGATTGCTGATGAGTTTATGATTTTGGCCTTCTAAATGTATACCATGCCCAATTGTATTGAATATCACATTATCACGTAGCAAGAGCCCACTACTTGTAATGGCTTGAATACCAACTCCACAGCTGTGATGGATGCTGGAGGAAATTATAAAAGACTTGAGGGATGAATTTGTGATGTCAACTGATGGAGATTGTGAAGATCCAAGGTTCAAAATTTCAACATTTGAAAGTTGAAGCACACCTGCAAGATGGGAGAATGACACCTTTAAGAATCAGGATTTGTGGGGGAGAGGTTGGGGAGGTACAGGATAACCTTCTATGCCTTGAAAAATAGAAACAATGGAAAAAGATACTCTATTGATGTCACTTTAGAAGTTCTAAATTCAGAAATCTTTAAGATAATACTACTCCAAATTAAAAAAGCATATACAGTAACTAAAGAGTTACTCAGTGATCCAGGTTTTATTTTCATTAATGCCTATATAACATTTGCTATAGAGGATAATAGTTTTTTATTTCAAATAGCACATTTTAAACTCAGTTGCTATTACTTTCCTCACCAATTATTACTCTGTTTTATTTATTTATTTGATTTATTTGATTTGCCAATTGTTTACAAGATAATAAGTATAAGTGTATACATAGTTGTGAATACATGAAATGGGTACATATAAGAAAAATAAAAGAAGAATAAGAGAAACAATAGGACAGGGACGGTAGGCACATTGGTGCGCTTATGCATGCCCCCTACAGACCTCTTAGGAAAGGGGTGAGGTCAATAGTAGACAGTCTAAGGTTAAAGTTTTTGGGGTTTGGGGAAGAAACTACAGAGTCAGGTAGAGTATTCCAGACATTGACCACTCTATTGCTGAAGTCGTATTTCCTGCAATCAAGTTTGGTGCGGTTAACTTTGAGTTTGTATCTATTGTGTGCTCTTGTGTTGTTATGGTTGAAGCTGAAGTATTCATTGACAGGTAGGACATTGCAATGTATGATTTTATATACCATGCTTAAATCAGACCGAAGACGGCGTAATTCAAGGTTTTCTAGTTCTAGAATTTCAAGTCTGGTGGCATAAGGTATTCTACAACGAGTAGAGGAGTGGAGAACTCTTCTTGTGAAATATTTCTGGACTTTCTCAATTGTGCTAATATCAGATACGTAATGTGGGTTCCAGACTGATGAACTGTATTTGAGTATTGGTCTAGCAAATGTTTTGTATGCTCTGTTGTCACACAATTTATAAAATAAAAAAATCATTTATCATTCCCACATTCATAAGTTTTTTTGGGGGGGGGCGTCAATTGATGGAAGGAGCCAATGATAAACTATTTCTGAAAAACCTTGCCAAGAAAACTGCAGGGACTTGTCCAGGCAGTCTCTGAGAATTGGACAAGATTGAATGGAAGAAAGAAAAATCACCCACAATAGTAGGCTTGGTGTGATAACTATCAAATGAATTCATGTTCTTCTTTAAAAATACATGACAAATCTAGAAAATTAAAATATATTTATTCTAAGCTACATGGATAGAGAATGATGTGTAAAATAAATATAAATACTTAAGTACCTGCATCTTGGTTTGCATAGCCCCAAGGTTTCACCAGAAGTTTTCCTATGCAATCCATGTCAGATTTAATCCGAATGTTTCTTGTCAGAAGCCCAACCTCTGCAGCCAGGAGAATCCATTGACCATCTTCTAATCTATGGGAATGGCCTACAGAGATCAAAATGTCAGAAAACAACAGAAGTGGAACAGGTTTAATAAACCAAACATGGGATCTCTAATAATTCTTCCCATATGAAAAGAGTTCACATATCCAGGCAACGTAAAGTAGGACTTCGTAATTTATTGCAGATTCAGACATTTGGAAAAAAAGTCATTTACTTTATTATCACTTTAAACAACATTATTTTCCCCTTATTTCATATAACAATCACTGATGCAGAGAATAACATATCAGAAGTAGGGAGCATACAGGTGAAACTCAAAAAATTAGAATATTGTGCAAAAGTTCATTTATTTCAGTAATGCAACTTAAAAGGTGAAAGTAATATATGAGATAGACTCATTACATGCAAAGCAAGATAGTTCAAGCCGTGATGTGGCATAATTGAGATGATTATGGCTTACAGCTCATGAAAACTCCAAATCCACAATCTCAGAAAATTAGAATATTGTGAAAAGGTTCAATATTCTAGGCTCAAAGTGTCCCACTCTAATCAGCTAATTAAGCCATAACACCCAAAGGGTTCCTGGGCCTTTAAATAGTCTCTCAGTCTGGTTCAGTAGGAATCACAATCATGGGAAAGACTGCTGACCTGACAGTTGTGCAGAAAACCATCATTGACACCCTCCATAAGGAGGGAAAGCCTCAAAAGGTAATTGCAAAAGAAGTTGGATGTTCCCAAAGTACTGTATGAAAGCACATGAATAGAAAGTTATGTGGAAGGGAAAAGTGTGGAAGAAAAAGGTGCACAAGCAGCAGGGATGACCACAGCTTGGAGAGGATTGTCAGGAAAAAGCCATTCAAAAGTGTTGGGGACCTTCACAAGGAGTGGACTGAAGCTGGAGTCAGTGCATTAAGAGCCACCACACAAAGACAGATCCTGGACATGGGCTTCAAATGTCATATTCCTTTTGTCAAGCCGCTCCTGAACAACAAACAATGTCAGAAGCGTCTTACCTGGGCTAAAGAAAAACAGAACTGGTCTGTTGCTCAGTGGTCTAAAGCAGGGGTCCCCAACCACCGGTCCGCGGACCGGTACCGGTCCACAGAACAGGTCCTACCGGGCCGCTGGCTTGCTGGGCGCCGCCATCTTTTTTTGATGAAAAAGTGCTTCCGGTGAGCTTTTCCGGGTAGAAAGCTCACCGGAAGCACGTTTTCATCAAAAAAAAGATGGCGGCGCCAGCGCTTCCGGTTAGCTTTTCCAGGTAGAAAGCTCACCGGAAGCACGTTTTCATCAAAAAAAGATGGTGGCGCCCAGCTGATGCCGGTACCGGGCCGCGGCGCCCAGCTGATGCCGGTACCGGGCCGCGGTGTAAAAATGGTTGGGGACCCCTGGTCTAAAGTCCTCTTTTCTGATGAGAGCAACTTTTGCATCTCATTTGGAAACCAAGGACCCAGAGTCTGGAGGAAGAATGGAGAGGCACACACTGCAAGATGCTTGAAGTCCAGTGTGAAGTTTCCACAGTCTGTATTGATTTGGGGAGCCATGAGCTGGTGTTGGTCCACTGTGCTTCATTAAGTCCAGGGTCAACGCAGCCGTCTTCCAGGAGATTTTGGAGCACTTCATATTTCCTTCCGCAGACGAGCTTTATGGGGATGCTGACTTCATTTTCCAGCAGGACTTGGCACCTGCCCACACTGCCAAATGCACCAAAACCTGGTTCAATGACCATGGGGTTACTGTGCTTGATTGGCCAGCAAACTCGCCTGAGAATCTATGGGGCATTGCCAAGAGAAAGATGAGAGACATGAGACTGAACAATGCAAAAGAGCTGAAGGCCGCTATTGAAGCATCCTGGTCTTCCATAACACCTCAGCAGTGCCACAAGCTGATAGCTTCCATGCCACGCTGCACTGAGGCAGTAATTGCTGCAAAAGGGGCCCAAACCAAGTACTGAGTGCTTGCTTATACTTTTCAGAGGTCCGATATTGTTCTATGTACAATCCTTGTTTTATTGATTGCATGTAATATTCTAATTTTCTGAGATTGTGGATTTGGGGTTTCATGAGCTGTAAGCCATAATCATCGCAATTATGACAAATCACGGCTTGAACTATCTTGCTTTGCATGTAATGAGTCTATCTCATATATTAGTTTCACCTTTTAAGTTGCATTACTGAAATAAATGAACTTTTGCACGCTATTCTAATTTTTAGAGTTTCACCTGTATAGTACCTCAGCTGTTTTGTGATCAAATATTTTACAAACCTAAATCAGTTCCATGGCATCTCCAATTTAAAAGAAGTTAAATACAGTATAAGGTCAGAGTTTATTGCACCTACCTTTCCTAAGAGGTCTGTAGGGTGCATGTATAAGCACACCAACGTACCTATTGTCCCTGTCCTAATGTTTCTTTTTATTCATATCCATTTAATGTATTCATAATCATGTTTATACTTATACCTGTTATCTAATACTTGCTTGACAAATAAATAAATTAAATAAATAAATAAAAATGTTGCAAGCATTTGTAATTCTAAGGGTATGAGACAGCAATTAAATACAGAAATAATTGGAACAATTCATTCATTGTATAAGTGCTGATTGCCCATTTAAATGTCTTAAGAAACAATACCAGCCCTTAAACTAAACTGAGAGGGTAAGATACAAAATGGGAATGACATCATACCTGCTGGTCCGATATATGTTGATATGTTCATCATAGTTTCTCTAGAGAAACCTAATGTATCTCTGCCAATGACTTATAATATCTTTTGGCACCATTGTCCCAAAAGAACATAATGGGAAGAGATTTTATATCACTTCAATGATGGCTGGGTTAAGCTAGGCGCTATTATAAATCACTGAGGATTGCCTATATTTAGACCCTAGATGCACAAGCTGTAGTCTTCCTTGTAAAATTCTGGATATAACATTGTACATTCATAGCCTCTACATGTCAACTTAAAATCAATTTGTAGTAGTTGGGTAGGGACTCCAACCCTTGTCCTTCCAGATATAAATCTCTATTTCAACTGATTGTCTTCATAAGGTTAATTATTTTATGAATAACTTGTAATTCCCATTTGTTAATTAAAGCAATAAAAATGTTAAAGTACTCTAGAAAGAAAACACTATTGAATAATGGCAAGTTTGTTGAGGAAAAATAATGAAAGTTAGGTAGCCTTTAATGTGCAAAAAAAAAAATTCATGACATAATCTAAGCAAAGGAGACAAACTGCATACCAATATGTCTATGGAGAAGATTTTCACGGATCCTAATGCTATGATTGTTAACTTTTTCTAAAGTGATTATTTCAGCTTGATGGGCTTCATATGAAGAGGAACTGACAACAATTTTATCACCAGGATGCCAGTCCAAATGATCTTGCACCATAAACCTGTAAAGAATGTGAGATGAAGACATATTTAGAAGAATAGTGTAGCACTCATTTTTCTCCTGGAATAATTAAGGAAACTGAATTATAATTAAGGAAAATAACGTGTGAACCAATCTGCCCTCACAGTACCAGCAAGGTAATGAACAAAGTTCTGGAAGGCTGAGGAGCTGAAGGCATTGTTTTACAGTGGTTCAGCTCCTTTCATTTTGTGTTGGTGGGGAAGGAAAGGTTGGCTTGGTGTCCTTTGACTTATGGGATGCTAAAGAGGCCAGTCTTGTCTCCTCTGCTTTTCAATATCCACAGTATATAAAGCCTCTGGAAAGGTTCATTCAGTGGTTTCAGGTGTAGTATCATCAATATGCTAATGACATCCAACTGGACATTGCTACCTTGGGCTATAGAGAAGATAATCTTAATTCTGTTTCCCAGTGCCTAGATCCTCTCTGTTTGGAGAGGAGAGAAGACATCAAAATGGAATCCTGAAAAGCTGAAATTTCTACAAATGCACCAAGGTCTTCTATCACCACCAAGAGTTTCTCATGCACAGGGAGCAAGTATCCGATGTGGGCGTCCTTCTGGTTTCTATTGGATCAGCAGGTAGAAATTGGCCAAAGAGGCATATGCCCAACTGGTGAGTATGCCAGTTCTGGCCTCATCTCTGGTCAGAGGACCTGGAGGTATGAGCAACAGCAGCTCATGCTGTTATCATCAACCATCTAGACTACTGGAATGCCCTTTACTTAGGGCTCCCCTTAAATAATATTTAGAAACTGCAGTTGGTTCTAAAAGCAGCAGTCTGTGTACCTTATGTTGGGAGTGTATATCATTAGTTTTGTGATCTTGCATTGGTTGTCATTTGCTTTCCAGATCCAATTTAAGGTGCTGATTTTGACCCATCAAATTATTTTCTTGACAAGTGGAAACTTTCAGGCATTCTCTAGTGAACTTCTACTCATCTAATTTAATCAAGCAGGAGAAACCTCTGCACACCTCACATTTTCAAATAATTTGTGGGGCTGGGGAAATTGCTTGTTTGTTTTATCTCCCTATGGAGATCAAGCTGGTTCCTTCTCTACTGGTTTTCTGCAAGCTCCTAAAGATGTTTTCAGAGAGCTTTTTCAGAGGGCCTTTTCCTGATTTGAATTCTGGTTGCCATCTTTTTGTAGGTTTGCTATAGTTTTCATTTTTATATGGGTTTTGTTTTATATGATTTTTTTTATGTGTGTGCCATCAAAAGTTATATTTAATGTGGTGGCATACAAGTAAGTTTAATACAGAATCATTTTAAAATGTTGCCAGAAAGGTCCTACCATGTCCTGACTCCTGCAAAAAAGTGGGCAGGGCTTCAAAAAGAAACAAAAAGTAAAAATAAAAAAGACCTTCCTTATTACCTATAATTTAACACATACCTTTCATTTCCAGGTGCAACATCATTTCCAAGATGTGTCCATGACTTCTTGGTGTAAGCACTGTGCAACTGCAGCTTCCCAAAAACACCTTGAAAAAAGGAGAAGAAACTAGCCATGATACAAAAGATGCTAATCTTCACAAGATCTTCAACATACTAGGCAGGACTTCTCAGTTGTGCCAGAGATATACTCATCCAAGCCATTTTGTATTGATGGAGATTGTTTGGATACTTCATAAAGTTTCCAAGGCACTTTCCTTAAAGATTACATTAGGAAGATTCCAACTCTAGCAAAAAGGGTGAACTGGCTTTCTGGATTACTGTATAACCCATATGCTCAGCAAGGTCACACCAATATTAGAATAGGAAAATGACAACTTCCTTGAGGGACTAAATACCTTGAAAAAGATAATACATCTTGAAAATCTAATAGAGGAAAAAATGAAAGGGGCCCGGCTTATTTCCTATTTCAAATGAAAGCCTGTTTACTGGCCTATCACTTTGATACATTGATAAGCAAACTCTTCGATGCTGAGGATAGCAAATAGTGCTGGGTGGGGGATTGGAACTTGTGTATATGCATATCCACAATGCCTCCATCAGAAGTACCTAATTTAAAAGCCAGAAGCACAGGGGTGGGATTCAAATTTTTTAACAACCGGTTATGTGGGCGTGGCTTGGTGGTCATGTTATTGGCTGGGTGTGGCCAAGTCAATATCACTCACATCGAGGCATGCATCTCCTCGCCTGGTCTCTCATGACTGTGGGGATGCTGCATCAGTTGTAAGTGTGAAAAATGGTCATAAGTCACTTCTTTCAGTGCCATTGTAACTTTGAATGGTCACTCCACACAAGCAAAGTACCAGTAAAGGAGGGGGAAAAAACTCCAGAGAAGTTCCTGAGACAGGAAGTCTAGTCCTGTCAAGATTTAACAGATTTAACAGATAATCAGAGTTGGAAGGGACCTTGTAGGTCATCTATTCCAACCCCCGCCCAAGCGGGAGGCCCTACACCATTTCTGATAAATGGCAGTCCAATCTCTTCTTGAAGGTCTCAGGTGATGGCACTCCCACAGCTTCCAAGGGCAAGCTTGGTTGATTGTTCTCACTGTCAGAAAGTTTCTCCCTATTTCCAGGTTAAATCTCTCCTTGTTCAGTTTCCATCCATCATTCCTTGTCTGGCCTACAGGCGCTTTAGAAAATAGCTTGACCCCTTCTTCCCTGTGGCAGCCCCTCAAATATTGGAAGACCGCGATCATGTCTCCCCTGGTCCTTCTCTTTACTAGACTAGCCAAGCCCAGTTCCTGCAACTGTTTGTTGTATGTTTTAGCCTCCAGTCCCCTAATCATCTTGGTTGCTCTTCTCTGTACTTTTTCTAGAGTCTCAACATCTTTTTTATAATGTGGTGAACAAAACTGAATACTCTAGGTGTGGTCTTACTAAGGCTTTATAGAGTGGTATTAGTACTTCCCTTGATCTTGATTGTATCCCTCTGTTAATACAATTTAGGATTGCATTAGCTTTTGTGGCTGCTGCTGCACACTGCTGTCCACTAAGACTCCAAGATCCCTCTCACAATTATTGCTATTGAGCCTGGTTTCACCTAGTCTATATGTATACTTTTGGTTTTTCTTGCCTTAGTGTAGGACTTTACTTTTCTCTATATTGAATTTCATTTTGTTAGATATGGCCCAGTGTTCTAGGCTGTCAAGATCCATCTGGATCTTGAGCCTATCTTCTTGGGTGTTAGCTATTCCTGCCAGCTTAGTATCACCTGCAAATTTGGTAAGTTCCCCTTCTATTCCCTCATCTAAGTCGTTAATGAAGATATTGAAGAGTACTGGGCCTAAGACAGAACCTTGTGGCACTCCACTGCTTACTTCCCTCCATGTAGACTTAGACCCATTAAGGACTACTTGTTGAGTATGGTTTGCCAGCCAGTTGCGAGTCCATCTAGTGGTGGTGCTATCTATTCCTCTTTTTTCTAGCTTACCAAGAAGTAGGTTGTGGTCTACTTTGTCAAATGCCTTGCTGAAAACTAAATATATTATGTCCACAGTATTTTGCTGGTCTACTAATTTAGTCATTTGTTGAAGAATGAAATAAGATTGGTTTGGCATGATCTGTTTTTAACAAACCCGTGCTGACTGCTAGTTATTACTTTACTTGTTTCTAGATGTTGGCAGATCTGTTTTTTTATTATCTTTTCCAGTATCTTCCCGGTATTGATGTTAGGCTAAGTGGTCATTAGTTTCCTGGGTCTGTTTTTTTCCCTTTTTTGAAGATGGGAACCACATCATCTCTTTTCCAGTCCTCTGGTAGTTCCCCAGTGCTCCAGGATTTTTGAAAGATATGGTGCAGTGGTTCTGAGATGACCTCTGCCAGCTCCTTTAAAACTCTGGGATGTCAGGCCCTGGTGATTTGTTTTCATCAAGATCAGACAGGTGTTCTCTTACTATTTTTTTTTTGCTTATTTTAACTTTTATTTCTGGTCTGTCTTTTACTTTTGGTGGGTTGAGCTATAGTTTCTTTTTGCGTAAAGATGGATGCAAAGAATGAGTTAATCAGTTCTGCTTTCTCTCTGTTACCTGTTACTTCCTTGTCATCTTCTCTCTTTAGTGGACCGACTATTTCCTTGATTTTTTTCTTGTTATTTATATGTTGGAAGAAACTTTTTTTATTATCTTTGACTTTTGTTGCAAGTCTTTGTTTGTTCTGAGCCTTTGCTATCCTGACTTCGTCTTTGCAGATTCTGGCTATCTGCTAATATCCTGCCTTAGTTGTATGTCCTTCTTTCCATTTTTTGTACTTGTCCTTTTTTTCTTTCAATTTGCCAGAGAGATCTTTGTGCAGCTATGCTGGTTTCTTCTTGGATTTCTTGTTTTTCTTTCTCAGTGGTATTATGCTGGTCTGGGCTTTTATGATCATACTTTTTAGAGTTTCCCAAGATTCTTGAGCTGTTTTCCCCTTTAGGATTTTCATCCATGGAATCTTTCCCAAGTTCTCTCTGAGTTTATTGAAACCAGCTCTTTTAAAATCCAAAACTCTGGTGTCAGTATGTTCTGTTGCTTGTGTTTGTGTTATGTTGAATTCTAGTATGACATGGTCACTCTCACCCAAGATTCCTGCAGTTTCAACTCCCTCTATCACTTCTTCTCTGTTTGTAAGAATTAAGTCCAGTATGGCTGTCCCTCTAGTTTCACCTCTACCTTTTGGACAACAAAGTTGTCAGCTAGGTTGGTTAGGAACTTATTTGATTTCTCACTTGGTGCAGAATTAGTTTTCCAATTGATATCAGGATAATTGAAGTCTCCCATTACTATTGTTGTGTGTTTCCTGCATATATTTGTTAGCTGGCTGGCAAAAAGGACATCTATATTTTCTGCTTGATTGGGTGGCCTATAATATACACCTATGGCCATGTCATTCTTTTTTTTTCTTTTATATTGACCCAGATTCTAGGAGGTTTTCATCTTTGTTTTCATGCATTTTTGTAGCAATATAGTGGTCTTTTACATACAGTGCAAATGTAATAAGGGTCAATGGAGAGGCAGTTTCTGTAAGCAACACCAGAATGTTTCCTTCCTGCCTTCCTTACAGGATTAGGCCAGTAATTTCTTCTAACAACCATTTCTCCAAACTGCTTAGAATGTTAACAACTGGTTCTAGCAAATAGGTGTGAACTGGTAGAATCCCACTCCTGCAGAAGCATGATCAGAATGCCTATTATAACTCTGTTTCAATCCTTTTCCTGCATGTTTATGGAGAAGATATTCCTTTTAGGAATGTAAATTTGTCTGCCTTCCATGCTTCCACAGTGGTCTAAAGTCTGTTCCTAAATACACATATAGACTTCTCCCAACACATACAAATGCACAACCTCCCTGTCGTCTTCCCCCATTTTCTCAACTGCATTCAATTTGTTGTTGCAAGTTTATCTGAGGTCAGAATGCTCTGTATGTCTTAAACACCCTACTCCTCCAAAAACTTCTAACAATCTACCAAACAACTGATGGGCAGGTTGTTGTGAGATATACCCCACACCCCACACTCAGCACAATCAGAGTAGCATCAGTAGATTAGAAATCAGAAAGGATATTGTTGGCTGCAGGAAAAAAAATGCTTAAATGTTTTCATGTTGCTTCAGGTTATCCACTTTTGATTTAGTAATTAAAATGCAGGCACTATTTAACAAAGCAGACAATTGTTGATTGATGCTAAGCATAGGACATTTTCGATCAAGGTTTTCCCACTGAGGAATTCAGAAGATGGTATCCATACCAATGGTTCCAGGACCAACGTTCAAACCTTTCAATCGATCACAATTTACTCTCTCAGATGCCCGAAGGAGAATGTGTACCTTTCTTCTTTCTTCTAATGGATGCTGCAGTGTGCCTAATGGGAAATTGATGAACATTAATTAATTTGTACGATGCATTGGTTTCTCCCTTTTTACATATTAAACATTTATCCAAGACAACTTACAAAAAAGTATGAATACACATACACATGTAAGTAAGAGCATAAAATAACAGCATAAATATTAACATTGCAGTACTCAAACATTACAAAACGCATAGCAAGAACAAACTAAACCAAGTACAACAATATTATCAGATTTGCATGTTCCTTCTACTTCCAGCAAGCAATTAATTGTTAAAGGCCTGCCCAAGTACATGTGGTTTTCAGTGCCCATTTTACTATTAAAATCAACTTAAATCTATGGATCCCCAGTGAAAACATTTGAGCACACAACACCATTAATAATATCACAACAGTGAACTAACAATACCAAACATTTATTCCACTGAAGGATAGAATTTATCCTATGCAAAGTTCATTCAGAATCTCAAAAGCTAATGTTTTTTTCCTAGCAGGGACACAGTTTTTCCAGCTATTATTTTATGGGATTTTGTCACATGGAGTTTGTGATTTTGCCTAGTATGTCCCATTCTAAATCAGACAAACTCTGGCACTTGCGAAACTATAGATTTCACTATAGTTGTTTTTTTTTTTAATTTATGCTATAAAATTTTACCATTGTTCCATCCCCCTTGGTCAACTTTATCATCTTCATCGAAGGGGGCTGTAACAACTCTCATGTGATCTCAGTTATATGATGAGCACTGGCACTGCTTGCTCATAACAGTGGCTGAAGAAATGGAAAGGTAATCCTGGTTTTTCTTAACCAGAATAATCCAGATTACCAGGAATAAGATAAACAGGGTTGGAGAAGGAAGAAAAGCAGTGGAAAAGTTAATACTCCATACAACAGAGTATCCTTCTTGTCCAGTTGAAAGCAAAGACAATGGGTGGAAACTCTTTTTCTTCAGAAAGGGTAATCTTTCTTTTTAAAAGAAATTCTTTGAATCTTTTCTTTCAGAACAGATAATAATTCTTTCTTAATTACTCTGGCTGTTCTGGCACAGATATTTGTTTTGCTAAATAATTTCAGTTTTCCCAAATTTGTTTTAATATTTCTTTTTTTTTTCAATAGGACAAGTGTGAAACAGAACTAATTTAGTAGAGAAAAAAAATAGTTAATCTGAAAAATATTTGGCATTTTTTACACATACACACAAAATTAACATTTTAGAAGAATCACATCTCTTTCAGGGATACAACATCTAAAACATAAATGATTTTTTCTGATGATATTGGAAACACAAGAAGAGAATAAAAAGGCAACAAAGAGAGGATGGAAATAACTCTTATCTCTTAGAATGCAAAGTGAGCTGTATTCCAACTGTGAACCTATTTATTTCACCCAGGGTAGTTTACAGACTCAGAAGGAAATAGTCTAGCATGCAGCAGATACTTGAAGGAAAAAGTAGGACAACTTCTGCCCTAGAGAAATGTAAGCAGAGTCCAGTAAGAGAGTTCAGCACTCCTTTAAAATTAGAGATTAAATCAATTATACAGCCCCAAACTGCAGCAGATGTAGAATTAAACAAAGAAATCTGTGTAGAATTAGCCATCATGCCACAATAATTTAATATCCAGAAAACATGCCTTTGGTGAGGAAAAGAGAAAGCGTAATTTTAGCAACCCATTTAATGAAGTGTCTATGAAAATTAATCTTGTTATAGATACTACTAATCTTGATCCAAAATCAGGCAAATGATCCACACAAAGAGACTTAGAAGGACCACCCTGTTCAATCTGGAGGCCAATTCAGGCATCTGGAAATAGCTTGATTTACTCTAGGCTGATCTGGAGCTGGTTTGATCAGTCCCATCATCATCATCATCATCATCATCATCATCAGCAGCAGCAGCAGCAGCAGCAGCAGCAGCAGAACTATATTATCTCTGAAAGGAGTTCCTTGCAGCATTCAAGAAAATCTTGTCCCCTTTAGGAATATGTCTTTCTCTTTTTTTTGTTCTTTTTTTAATCAAAGAGCATAGCCAGAGCTAGGGACTAAGAAGCAGCAAGACCTCCTTCTTCAGCTCTCTGCCCATAATCTTTGTTGGGTCAACTCCACTAGATAACAGGATAGGAATATCACCTTTCTGGAAGTTTTTTCAATAGTTTTCTTTTCCAGTGCTTCCTATAACAATAATTTCCTTCATTTCCTCTTCCCAAGCACAGCCATGAAAGCCTTAGTGAACGTAGATCTTCTCATTCAGTTTTGGATCCTTTCATCTAGTTTTCCCCTCCCTGTCTTGATCCATTTCAGAGCCAACTCTTTCTCTAATCTTCTTTAATTGCCAAATACTTTGAATTCCTAAAGTGTCTATTCTTGCTCATTTTTCATAAATATTCTACTCCATCCTGAGATAATCTGAATGACAATTTTCAAGTAATTCTAATAGTAGTTCTAAAATTCTGCACTGATTCCACTGACATGTGGCTTGCTTTTTTCTTTGTCACATGCAAAGTTCACCCCATTTTACCAAGAAACCAATAAAGATTAAGTGTTCATGTGCTTCCTTTGATGTCAATCCACTGGGAAACACAGCTCCTGTAATAAATCTCTTGTGGGCCCAAGCAGCTTTACAAAATTTATAAAGTGAGTGTTGTCTCCATCTACTCTTGTATCTTAGCTGAGAAATTCTCCAAGACTTTTAATTAAAACTGGGGAGGTCAGGATGGCAAGTTTCAAAACTATCTCTGAATCAAAGGAAAGGACCGACCCCATTTTACTAATTACCAAGCCTGCTTTAATTCTTATACAGTACAATTACAAGGGACCATTTAGGCCATGGAAGCCAACTTCTGTGCAGGAATCCAAATTATAGCATCCTAGACAGATGGATATCCAGTCTTTGCTTGAACATATCTGATTAAGAAGAGCTCACCAAACTCTCTGACCCGATGATTCCACTGTCAAACTGCTCTTCTTGTTAAAAGACTTTTTAAAAAAACATCAAATTAGAATCTGCTTCCTGTAATTCCAATTATAAGATGTTCATTCCAAAAAAGAGAGAGAACTGGCCTTGACCCTCTATGGGACATCTTCCCATTTATTTGAAGAGTGGTCTTATGTTCCTCCCACTTCTTCATTTTTTTGATCCTCAAGGCCAAACATCCTTCCCTATTTCTGTAGAGTTCTCACTGTTTAATCTCCTGATCATCTTCATTACCTTTCTATGAGCATGTTCAGTTTCTTTGAATTTTTGGGAAATTACACTTTTCAGGTATCATTCCCTTTGTTTCTTTCTCTGCTACACTTTTGTGATGATGTTTGGAAATTACCTTGGAAGTCAGGAGGAAGAGCTAGACAATAGTCTGATAAACAAAATTAATTTGAGTCCAAAGGAGGAGAGGTAGCAAAAATGGAAGGGACTCTCCCTAGTTTTTGGGAGAGTAAAAGTAAAGGATGGCAGGGGTACTTTCAGACTTGAAAAATTGATGTTGGCCTTGTAAAGTAGTCCAGACAAGAACAACCAGGAGTATTAGCTCTATCTTTACTGTAAGATTACATTAACATAATCTTGCAAGTCTCGAAGTACCCCTGCACTTCTCACTTTTATTTCCCCCAAAACTCGGGGATGATCCTTTTATCACCTCTCCTCTTTTGGACTCAAATTTGATTCATTAAACCATTGTCTAGATGCAGCTTTTCCTCCTGTCTCCCAAGATCATTCCCACATACCATTACAACTTTACATCTTCCTCTGCTAAATATATATTTGTTTTTTCAACCTGCTTCTTTAAACTACGAAGATAAATTTGAATTCTATTTCTGTAGTCTAAAGTCCTAATTATACTGTTCTTATGTCATCTGCAAATTTGATGAGCTTCAATTCCATGTCTTATCCAGATCACTAATGCAAAATGTTGAAGAATGACAACTTTGCCTTGTATATTTAAATGCTAAGGATAATTTAGGTCAGTATTAGTAGTATGCAAATCAAAGTCAGTTCAATTTCAGGATTAAAAAAAGGTTTTGAATCTCTTTTAAGTAGTGAACGTATTTGGAATATGAATAAAGGGTTGCAAGCGTCACCCCAAAGTAACTGCTGTATGGCCTTAGCTAATCACAAAAGGATTGTGATAGGGTAGGGACTACTAATCATAAAATATTTGAAGTTCCACATCAGGAGCTTTACTGCTCCATGCCTTAATAGTTTTATGAATGGATTACTGCAATACACTTGATGCAGAGCTATTCCTGAAGATGGTCCAGCAGCTGCCTGATTGTTAAGGAAGGAGACTAAATCAGTTCATGTCACAGCAGTGTTTAAAATCCTGCACTGAACTATCAAATGCAATTCAAGGTGTTGAGAAAGGATTTTCTGGGCCTAACTCAATATAGGCTCTATTGCACCCCTTATCTACTAGGGGGAGAAAAATATCAGGTTTTCTGCTCAGTGTGAAACAGCCTTTGATTGCATTCCAATGAGCATTTATCTAGAATAGATTCCACTTCAACTAGAACAGAATCCTTTTGTGCTACACTATGCACAGCATATTGCAAGAGCTTAATAAATGTTAGATAGCATGAGAACCAATTTATGATGTTATTCTTCTTTCTAGATTTCATCATTTGCCCTTAGCATATTTACCCCAACATAGTTTTGTCATGCCTGAGGTTAATTAGACTTGTTGGTTCACTTTTTAAAAAATAAAATAAAAGATACAACATGCACTTCTCTTCCAGTTATTATTATTATTATTATTATTATTATTATTATTATTATTATTATTATTATTATTATTGTTCTTTTTTTGTTGTTGTTGTTGTTATTATTCACTTACCCACTTTCAAGACACCACCAGCAGCAATCACAATACAAGCCACGCTCAGAAGATGGCTGGTGTTTAATGAGAATTCCAACGTGCCCTGGATATAAAGACCTCGTAGGGGTGGAAGATTCATATCCACCAAGACAGTTCTGTCTTAGAAAGAAGGAAATGATGCAGAGCATTACTTTGTTTAATATATTGCTTTTTTAAAAAGTAGCCTCCTTTTTGCATCTTTTTCTAAGATGCTAAATTGAACAATGAGACTAGGACTATTACTCATAGTTCATAATTTAGGAATTATTTAAGTGAACTTTGGCTCCCCATCAAATTAGATCTGAATGGGGAAAAAGTTTACATAGTACAGAGAATTAATAAGAGTATGTCAAAATATTCAAACCTTCTAATAAACAGTACAGTTACTTAATATACTAGATATAATTGGGATTGGGGAAAAAATATTTCTTTTTTGCATTTATACTTTACATTTGCTTCTCTCCTCATTTTATCTTCAAAGGTACAACACTGAACTAGCTTGGGCAAATAAGAACAACTAGCCCCAAATCAAATGGGAAATGACAGTGAAGATCTCCCTGGCCATATAACAATCCACTTATATGAATGATACATATTCCTCCATGCACCAATACAGCAATCAAGCACATATGAATTCTTCCCTTTGGGAATGCAAAGAAGGAGATGGGAAGAGAGGAGGGTCATTTCTGGGCTGGGGGTTAAGATTGGCCATTGGAAGGCAAATAAGCAGGATGGAAAATAACAAGAAGGATAGGGCTATGCTGGAGGAAAACAACCTGTTGTTGGGAAAAATTGAAGGCAAAAGCAGAAGGTGAGAGAGATAATGTCATCAATACAATGAACATGAATTTGGGGAAACTCCAAGAGAGTGGAGGATAGAGGGATCTGGCATGCTAAAGTCCATGGGATTGTGAAGAGTTGGACACAACTTAGGAACTGAACAAGATCAATGGAAGAGGAGAATGATGATATGATACAGGAGCAGGGACACAGGCTAAACTGGGAAGAAAGAAAAGATCGAGGGGAAAGAAGCAGAGAATGACTTCAAAGAGCAGGCATATTGAAGAAAAGGAATGAGGAGAATGAAAAAGTGGTGTCCATACATGGAAAGAGCAAGAATTGATACATATGAACTGGACTCTTCTAAAAACTACTAGACATATGGTAACTCTAATTAAAACTCGGTAATATAAAGGCCTGGTGTTCTGAATGTTTTGGGTTGATTCCAAAACTAGCCATCTGTCAATGCAATGGCATCCATAAGAAGAATGGATTACCGTCCCTGTACCATCCCCCCCCCCCCCAAAAAAAAAAAATCACCTCCAAAGGAAATATTCATGCTGCAAAGGACAGAGAGGAGCTCAAAAAGAAATCTTTATCTCAGCAAAAAAAAAAAAAAAGACAGTTCAGAGATATAAGTAAAACTGGAGTGTTTTTAGTGAGCTGTTGAAGTGACAAGATATAGTCCATAAAATACAATAGTATAAAATGATTAATACCTGCTAAACCATGTGTTAAAACAAATCAGAGATTTAGCATTAGTTTAGATTTAACATAAAACAAAAATAATAAATATTATTACAACAGGCCAGCCTTAGTGATGCCAAGCAATTATGTTAAAATAGTCATCTCTTATTAAAGAATCCAGCCATATACTCCAATGAAAAAGAGAGGAATTTTCCACACAGTGTCCTTTCTCTCAACTCATGGGTAAATATTATTATTTGATCTTAAAAATGAAAAACTGGCTTTTTCAACCAGCCTTCAGCATTGAAATGTTGTGAGATGCTGTCTCCTATCAACTGGATTATAACAGACTTTTATTTATCTCTGGTACCATGCTTTGCATTAAATTGTTATTTGCTTTAGACTCTTTTAAAATCTTAATTACTCAAATGGGAAGTGTAAGCTATTCAGAGTAGGTTTTAATTTGAGCAGCATGTAAACATTGTAAATAAGTAAATAAAACAATGGCTATCTCCATTTTGGTTGTGGCAGGTGGTGTTTGGCAGAGAGGCATTTTTAAGAAGAGCATTCTAATGAAAAATGAGAATTAAAGCAAAAACATTTTGTTGCTATCTTTTTACTGGTTCTTATATAGAAGAGTCAGAAGGCTTTTGACCCACAGAATAGACAGATTAAACTAACCAAGTCAGAGACGGGGAACAGAGATTTAAAACCAACGTTTATGAACACCATCCAGAAGCAAGCTATGTTCTACTAGTGTTTAACCTTTCCAGAAGTCCTGCAATATGTAATGTCATTTACTGATTTTTGGAAGCCCTTTTTTAAAAAAAATATTCATTTACTTTTCTCAGTAGCTCTACTATTTAAATACCATGATCATGGTCTTAAAATATAAATAAATAAAATAACACATAATAAATATTTAAAATGAAGAAAAGTGGTGAATCAATAGGATCTTTCAGTCTGCTTTTCAGAGATTGGATATGAGTGCACGACTGTGCCAAACCAATTATTCTATAGAGGGGCAAATGCTGTGTAGAAATTATCTAGAAAGTAAGGCAGATAGAAAACATTTTAGCTGTAAACCCTGGGATAGCAGAATTTATTAGAATTCTTCTCCAAAATGAGTATGTAAAGGTTTTTTTATAATTTAAAAAAATACATGCCATGATATTTAATTATGTATTTAACAAAGAGAATAAAAGGTAAGATTAATTGTGATAAAGGCAAAAATCATATGAAGATAATTAATTACTACTCAAGTTGGAGACAACCCCAAATACCACCAGCCCTTGTCTTTCTAATGGGATGTTGCAAACGTGATTCCACCTCCTGGGAATACAGGAGATAAACAGCGTAGTTCTTTATGTAGAAACAAGGCAGGGAATCTGAAAAATCTCTTGGTATTCCTCCAATCAAGTAGAAGTCTGTGTTACAGCTGAGGAAACTATGTGAAAATTCTATGTGATAGTAAAAGCACTGAAGGAAAGTTAAACCACTGAGGGAAAGTTAAACCAATCAGCCATCAGCTTTCTTATTTCCCATGGAAACGTCCAACAGTCTGCTGCTGAAGGGATGGGATAGAAACTCCTCACCAATTATTTATAAATTCCACCCTCGTCCTGAAAAAGTATGGATACAGTCCTTCAGTTGACCTTTTCATCTAATATCTCAGCTCCTGAAATAGATGGAAAATCAAAGGGTGACATTTTTAGCCTGGCTCTAATTCTCAAACTCCAGACTGGCTATGTCCATGGGGGCTCCTCAGTGCTGACAGGCTTTGGGGACTTTTTCCAGCTTTGTCTGGTGGCTTTATTTTTTGGCTCTGATTCCCTGAGTCTATGCTGGTGCAGTTGCCTGCAGTTCTGACCTGACAAAACCGCAGTGGAATATCTATTCCAGGGAGTGAAAGGCAGTCATTAATTCATTGCCGCAACTCACTGCCTGAAGATGGAGTGGAACTCTGAGATTCTGGGAGTTTGCAGGGTTTTTCTTCAGGTCTCTTGTCCAATCGGTTTTAAAGGTGTAACAGTCACCAAGAAAAGCTAGGAAAGTATATGGAGAGTATGTATGGAGATCTCAATAAATAACTTAAACGTCAAAGAGGTAAAGAGGAAATACACACCGATATTTACATCTACAGACCAGGAGATTGGTTGTTGTTTTTTGTATGGTTCAAGACTTGAATACCACCAATACCCACACATTCAAAAGATCATTATTTCAAAGGATTTTCTAAAAAAAAAAAAAAGACTACCAGCAACAAAGAAAAGAAACAAAGTGGAAAAGCATAAACTCTAACTTCTTATGCCATGTTAAGGACAAAAATGCATGTATATCCTAGCAGAGGAGGAGAACATCAAGTGACTATCCTTCCATTCAGACCTACTTCCAATCTCATGACAAGCACAATTTATACAATCCAGAATTTATGTTCATACTCAAATGCATTTTAAAAAGGCAAAACAAATAGCTGCATTATAGCAGATGGTGCTGCTAGCAACCTGTAAATGAATTTTTCTGTCATCTCTATGGATGATGACATAGCTTTAGCAAAAGAAAAATGCAGCTCATCCAACATTCAGAAATCACATGCATCGTAATATATATAATGTTCTTGTTATTCCTATTGCAGCTAAGACTAAAAAAAACCCTAAACAAATCTTAATCCAATTAATCTCTAAATAAGCATATGGAAAATTCTGCCTACTCCCAACTCTCAGTCTGTAAAGAAATCCAGTGAAGACCTTGCTAGTGAATGTTACTTAATAAAATCAACTCCTTTAAAAAAAAAATACACACAAAGCAGAAGGATTAACTTCATGGTTTAGATGGGCCGTCTGTATTTCTTCCACACTGCCTACCTCTGAACTCCAGGGATGAAAATGTTACACAACAACTCAATCTGTTTTGTAACTCAGACACCACATTATCATCAGATCAAGTTACTAGTCAAACAAACACTGGAAAACAGATGGTTCCAAACTGAATAGAAGTCTTCTTTTCACTCCTTGTGCTATAAATAAACAAAAGAAGCAGAGGTCATGTAGATTATGAATGGGGGCTCAATTGTCCTGTATTCATTCATGCAGTTTGAATGACAGCAAGGTCATGGTTGGGACCTTTATCTGAGCTATCTACTGTCACTGTATTAACAAGTTTTAAATCTTTGAAGGTGTTTAGTTTCTTTTTAGTAAAATCATCCTGTTTTCTGCTGAGAAAAACTAGGGAGAAAAAGAAAGACCATTTAACATCAAGGCATCATTTTAAATACAATAACTGAATTATTGTCATACTATCTGCAAATTCCGGAATCTCCAAAAATTCAGGAATGGGAGAATTTGTCAGCCACTTTTTCAGGCAGTTTCTCTTTTTCCAATGTTATATTCATTTGATAAGATTCTACAGCAATTTCTAAACTGTTGTTCAATTGAATGCATCACCATGTACATTTTTTAGTAAGATTTTAGCCTAATATCTTTTGTGGGTAAGATTTATATTTCCCCGACACATAGGCAGAATGCACAAGTCATCTGATGTGTTCTAGTTTACAGCTACAAAGTTTGCAAACCAAGATATGCATCTAAATACATCTGTATATTTTATTTCCTAATAGGGGAAATAATGAAGTACGGCAGAGCAAAATTCGTGTTTTTGTGTATTTGTGTGTTTGTGTCTGTGTTTGTGTGTGATTTCCATTTCCCTTTTGTATTCTCTAGAATACCCTCTGCCCCCATGCAACATTACTGAAAGTAGCCTAGCAGGAATGCTGCAGTGATATAGAAAAATATGAATGCTAAAATAGAAAAATATGAATGCTAAATACCTTCTCACAATACATTTCTACCCATTGGATTCAGACTCATGGATTTATATAGCAAATGTTTTGGAAAAATCTTCATATGAAAATTAAAAGGAAACTCAAGAGAACACAGATGTAAAGGAAGGGAAAGCCATCCCAGAAGAAGAAATGGGAGGAAAGAGCCTACATTGTAAAATAATTGCAAAGAATGTGCTTTTAACAAAATGCATGCTGTTGACAAATATTGTTAAGATGGCCAACTGAGTTAGAAAAACATTTTTATAAGACAATGGCTTCATTCCTAATTCTTTGTCCTATGATACAGAGAATTTCTATTGTTAAAACTTTAAAATACTTGCATCTTGATTTGTACATTTCCTTATTTCTCTAGTTTTATCCTTTTTGCATAATGTTTTAAAGAGATAGCTGGCTAGATAGCTAGACAGACAGACAGACAGACAGATAGGCAGAAAGATAGACAGACAATGGTGTGCTGGATCAGTGAGTAGACCAGGTTCTAGTCTGGAAGTTGGGATGCGAAGTCAAAAATAATATATTTACCAACTCACACTGGACCAGCATTGTGATTTATGGTCCATAACCGCTGATGAAGGAGCTTTCATGCCACCCAGAGTTCATTAATTTGGGAAGATAATTTTATACATAATTTTCTGGATAATATGTAGCAGAGGAATATACGCTCCAGAACAATTGCAGGCTTCTTTGTAGAATTAAGAAAGGAATACATTTAAAGGTGTGATATACCTCTGGATGTATATGTCCATTAAGTAGGGGAATTCTCATGAAAGTGACCAAACCTGATATTCTTGAGTTCACAAAATCCTCAGCTCAAAATCCTCAGATTTAATTCAATGTCGTCCCCACCCATATGCAATACTATTCAGAAAATACTAGTATTTGTTCTAAAAGGATACACTTCCCATATTGTGTGTTAATTTCTTTACAGAAAAATTCAGAAATAATCCAGCAGAATCTTAATGCTCTGACATAAAACAAGCTTTCTAATGACTCAAGTAGTGATACGGAATCTCTTTGATCAGCATTTTTACTTTATAAAATGTCATAAATGCAACACCAAATGCTACACAGGCACAACGGAAGTATTATTACATGAGATGCAGAGCTTGAGCGTCTGTCTCTTCAAACAGAAAAAGTTCAAAGCCAAACGAGAGAGACAGAAGATTCCGCCACTAAAAACAATGCCAGAGGCTACGTGACATCATAAATATGCCATCTGATGCAACATTCTATGGCAAGCTCCTCACTCCTTCATATATTGTGTCAGAACTGTATTATATTAAGCCCCACAAAATGTGGGGGGAAAAAACATGGAAAGCTATGAATGTTGCTAGAATAAAAGCTGTTTTTATTTGTTCATGCATAGAACAAGAAATTTGTCCTTGATTTCTTTCAATGTTATGAAAATAGTTACAAATGTTCCCAAAGAAAGATTCAAATACATGCCAATCTACTGTACTTTCCTGTCCCTTTCTTTTGTAACAGAAATATGCCGCCCTACATATGCAGTTGCCACTCAGCCAATAGTAACACATCATTCAAATGACAGATATGAGGTGAGTTTTTAAAGATATTTTGACACTATGAGCAATCAACTACTTGTCCAAAATTGCTCTTGTATGTAAAACTACCCCCGTTTATATTGGGTAAGTGAAGCCCTTTTCACAGTTGCTATGTATATGCACCAAAACTCCTTCAACAGTATACATCAAAAACCAAATTAAAACATGGTTTTAGAAAGATATTGAGTTATATATACAGAAGTAATACAGTAAAATCTTAATGTTAAGTAATTAGTACAAGACCGAAGTATTACCTTATAACTAATATCTTGATATGAATTGTAGCAGTTCTTTTTTACACTCAACTTTGGATGAAAATTTAAGGCTATGTAGTTACAACAAAAATGGATGAAAAAATAATTCTTTTGAAAATTCACTATGGGAAAAATAATCAGTCTAACATTTGCCATCTGACCTCTAAAATGGTTTCCGATTTTGGAAAGTCTGAAATTTGTTTGAAAAATTGGCTAAACTGATTAATCATCCAGATCTCTTTATTGATAATAATCAATATCTGCTTTATTGCAATCAAATGTTTTCCTAAGAAAAACAGTTAGGGAACGCAACAGATACAAGAGGTTGTACAGATCTTTGAAGCACACTTCACTCAGGTGAAGTTTAGAGTGAAGTGCCCCTTCTCAAAGCAATGTGATCCCAATTTGTTTGCTGTGTCTTTCTTCTGAGGCCTTCTCTAGCATTTTCAATAGCCTTGAGAAAAGTCTACTGTTTTCACATGACTGGGTATGATTGCAAAACAGGCAATATTTCCTCAGAGAATATGTACTTATGTTGGGGTAAACAACTTCCTTTCATTTATTTATACATATTTCTTCTTTTGATGTCAGAAGATATGAAAATGTACATGGAGATATTGGTTGACAAATGAGTATTTAACTTGCAGAATAAAGCAATAAAGAAACCAGAAAGTTAGAACTAGCTTTTTCCTATTTATATATTAGATTGGGTATCTATATCTTTCATGTGCCAAGCTCTCGTGTTACAATGACTTTATTGTTACAATATAGTATATTAACACAATATAGTTACCTGGTAAAATGATAACATCTTCACCAGCTGATGGTATACTTTTATTGTAGCCACCCCATCCCTTTGCCACATCATTCCAGGATTCAGCAAGGGACCATCTGAAAATAGGAGGAGAAAAAGAAGAAACTCGATCTAGGAAAAAAGAAATAATTTATTTTTGCATGTATGCCTGCTTGACTGTCTACTTACCTACCTACTTATCTCAGTAAAGATTTGGCAAACCTCACTAAGATGTTTGGAAACAATGTTTATCTTCCTCAAAATGGAAACCAGTATTTTAATCATTTGTTTCTAAGTGGACATACACTTCTCAGTAGAGGTCTGAAATTTCTACCTGTGTAATAGGATTATTCAAGATAGATTAAATGGATGCCAGGCATTAATTAACTAAGATATAGTAAAATCAAAATTATAGATATAAATTTCCCTATTACTACCCTCCTAACCATTTTTATCAATAAGAAAAAAAGCATGTAAATAAGAAAGATTATCTTAAAGAGCATAATAATTAGACTGAAGGTAAATGAGGCTTATATTTCAATTAACAGAGGAATTAATAACTTAATAACTTAATTGCAATATCATCTTTTCTTCTGAACTTTCTAAAACACACTTTTATAATCTTTGCATTCATTTTAATCTCTCTCTCTCTCTCTTTCTCTCTCTCTCTCTCTCTCTCTCTCCTTGGCTTCTTTTCCTATTCACAAGTCCAATGGCAGTTGGATGATTGGAAGGAAGGAAGGAAGGAAGGAAGGAAGGAAGGAAGGAAGGAAGGAAGGAAGGAAGGAAGGAAGGAAGGACAGAAAGAACAGAAAGAAAGAACAGAGAGAGGAAGGAAGGATAAAAACAGTAAATGTAGGGTGTCAAAAGCTAGTCCTTTCATTTACCAGATAATTGTTTAAATAAGTTATTTTCAGCAATAGGCATAGAATAGATGTGATTCAGTCATGTGCATCAATGGCAGAAACTAGACATGGCTCTTATATAAATTTTCTGTATAGAGAAAACACTGACCAGAGACACAGAAAAGTTTATTTAAGTACCCAGAAATAGATCCTATGGGTTAGAGTGAATAATGCTGAATAAAACAAGACTACATTTTTAAATTTACATACCCTGTTCTGATAAAGGGAATATGTCTTCAACTTTAAATGTCACTTGGATTAGGCCTCTCCCTGTAACTAAATTTAGAAAGTTAGTAAGACATAAGAATGATGTATAAAAGCTGAAAATTGTTCTAATTCCATAAAACAAAGTTTCTTCAATTGTGGGGAATCTCATGTTTTGAAATATTCATAATATGATGTGCATTGTATAAATCCATGCAGTTTAAATACACCTTATAGAAAAAAAACCCTGAAGAGTCAGATGCTCAGCTAAGGAGAAAAAGTGCTAAGAAAGAGCTGTTTGTTATAGTAATCCCTGGGAAAGGATGGGTTAAGTTTTCCCAGGCATCTTGCACTGACAATGTTCTCCTTGTGAAACCAAGCAAAATTGTTCCTCCATTATTTAAGTTCTTTTTATCATGTTTTATTGTTAATGTGATTCAAAATGTGGTTGAAGGATGCTATATAAAACACACAAAACAAGGTTTAAGTGTTTAGCTAGACAGATGTGCTCTTTTTCAAGATATTCCATTCAATTCTGCTCCTGCCTTTTTCCTTTTCCTCCATTCAGACAATCCATATTCTTAAACCAATGAACATTTCAAGGTTTTGCCCTTTTGGATTCCCCTCTCTCTTAATCACCTAAGTTTATCTTTACGTTTTACTTTTGCAAAACTTTAAGTTTCCACTTAAAGAACTTTAAGTTCGTTCTTAATTGCACAATTTCAGCTAGTAATAATCTGAAATATAACTTGCTGTTAATAAAAGAGTTTACTGATTCTGAAAATTACATCATTGTGCTATGCAGAATGTTCAAGTCGCATCTTCAAAGTCTTTTCCTCTTCTTCTGATCTTGCAAGCACAGAAACACTTCAGCCAGGATTGACACCTAGGATGATTGAAGGGACACCCCCTCCAAATGATTTCCAGAGTTTTGGTAATTAATTTCACTATTGAACTACTCTTGCTATTAGGAAGCATTGAAGAATAAGTGTAGCCAGTGTGATGTAGCAGTGAAGGTGTTGGATTTGCACCAGAGAGCCCCTGATTCAGTTTTAAGTCAGACTTCAAGACCCAAGGTTTCCAAGTGTCACTTCAGGCTACTCACTCTCTCTAGCCCACCCTATCTCCTCAAGAAGTTGTCGTTGGGGGGGTGTGTGACATAGGAGGAAGGTTTGTTGCACCTACTGCCTTGAGCTCCTAAAAGAAAAATGGGATACAAATCTAAAAAATGCTTACTCCTGGATATTCAAACATATCTGCAAATTAAAAGCATGGTTTTGTTATCTGCAATCTGGGACAATAGCTTACTTCTACTTTTTGTGGCACCTTTTAGAAGCTTGAACAGTGTGGTCACAGCTCCTCTTAATCATTTTTTCTCAAGCCCAAATGTACCACATTACTCCAAGCTCTTCTTATCAAGCTTAATTTCAAGTTTTCTGATCATTTTCATTGTCCTTCATTGTCTTTGTTTCAGAATTTGACAGGTCGGCTCCTTTGACCCTGGCACATATGTCTTCTGCCAGTCTATGGGATGGAAGCAATTACTCCTATGGACAGTTTTGTAGAATCCCTTTGACATTATGCATGTCAGTAAATAACTAGATTGTACACACTTTCCTATATGCTTAAGTTGTCACTGGATAAGAGTTTCTTAATATATTTTGCCTGAGTTATCCGTAGCTTGGTAGAATATTTTCTAAATGATCAAGGCAAATGCACAAAATTATTTTGATGTGCAATGATTGGCTGCATTATTTTGTATATCACTTTTTTGTCCTGTAAACTTGCTCTTCAGATCTGAGAATATGTGTGATACTTCCTAAAGCAACTAAGGATGGAAAACTATAAAGTTAATGATGAACAGTTCCTGTTGTGTCTCCATGATGTCTTCCTTCACATGCTCAGCTTTCAGAATAACAATGACTTTTTTTTTTAATGGTGAGATTCAGTTTGAAGCAAACACTGTGTGAATTTCAGAGCCTGCCTGTGAATGATCTAGCATCTGATCTGTATTTATTGACATTAAATTTAGGGTTTAATGCACTCCTGCCACTTTTCAACAATTCACCCTAAAAGGCTTTTAACCCGCACAAAAGAAGGAGGTCATAAGTAAATTGACCTCGGACAGAATGTACAATTATTAGAGGAGGTTAGAACAAGAGCAGCTGCCGGAGCCCCACTGGCAAAGCGAAGTACTTCCAAAAGTCTGGTTATTAAGAATAGACTCAGGTTTCCCCTCTCTACCACTTCGACAAGGTCCCTTTGGTTTCCCTAAGAAGAATTATCACCCTCCCTAGCAGCTGCAATAATTGTGTTCCTATTGTTACACAGACCTCCTCCCGACCACCCCCTACAAGTGTCCATTGTTGAGACAGAGTCAAGTGATTAGATACTCCGGTGGATACGGTTAGAGCCCAGCTGCCTAACTGCTGACACACGAGCATCAAGGGGCGGGAGGATGGGGGGGGGGGCAGACCCATGGCTGCAAGACGGGGCTCTAACATGCCAGACCTTTTACATAAGTCAAACAGAAACAAACGATGCTTTCTGGGTCCTGCTGACAGAGCAACCTCTCCTCCTTTGAAGTGGTGAGGGCTGGTAGGCTTTTACAGCTTTCCCTCTTCAGCCCAAGCAAACATCCTTCTTTTGATATGAGTCATGCTCATTATCTCTGCCCCATTTAATGATTTTTGATTGAAAGGTGGAAGCTCAGTTGCCAAGAGGGTTGTTAAAGAGGCTCCAAAGAGTCAGACCTACAATAAAGGCTTCCCTTATGCAGTGCCCTATATTTGGAATTTCTTAACAGCATGTTCTTGTTCTCTGCCGCAGATAAGGGCTGAGCGTGAAATTCTTAATTAAGCAGTAAATAGTGTATGGGTGTCAGCAGATGCAACCTGTAGCCATGGAGACTGAGTCACATGAACAGGAGAATAGGCACTAAACTAGAAGCCTTAGGCCTGGAAGTGAGTGACAGCTGAAGAATCCTACAAAGCTTGTAAATAGGATTAATTAGCTGACTAATTTATTTTTCCAGACTATCACCATAATTTAAAAATAAAGAAAATTTCTGGTTTTATGTTAAAAGATAGTAAAAAGATCAAAACACAGGTGGTCATTTCTTGGAAAGATCTTAGGCCATTAAACTCAGAAGGAATAGAGCTGAACTCACAAAGTCCACATTTTCTTTCAGCAGAGAAAGCACTTCATGGTTCAAACAATGACACACTTTTATTGATAAATGCAAACAGACCAAAAATGTAGCTTAGGTGAAATAGTTGTAGAGTCTCTGTTTGTTTGCAATAACTTCTGTTATTTTTGCAGTTAAGATTCCAAAGTTCTTTCAGGTAAAGAACTATGTAACAAAATCATTTTCTCTCTTCTGCCCAGGGGAGAGACTAAAGCCCACTTCAGGCTTCCTTGAGTTAGAAAAAGGCACTTTTATTATGTGATGCTGTTCATATGAAGGAACTTCACATCGCTCCTCCAATTTTAGTCATGCCATGTTCTTTTTCAAGTAATATTTACTATACTGGTTAAAATTGGCACAGATAACTCCAGGATTCAGTCATGAAAACAAGTTCCATGTACAGTATAAAACTGCTTATTGTTATGTGCTCCCTGTTTCTCAAAAAACTTCGGCTTTCTGGAATAGCACAAAGAGATTTTAATTCTGGAGAAAATTTCAGCTTCCTATAGCAGGTGGCAAGCCTAACAACCTAAAAGCAATTTTCAGAGGAAGTGTCTGAATTCCAAATTGCTTCACAAAAGAACCACTACTCAATGTGGTTAATGTGTGATGTCCCTCACCCATTCCAGCATCTGTGTGCAGTTGTTGCTTCTCAATGAGCATTACTATCAACTACAATCTTAAACATCAAGCTCTTACCTAAATAAGTTAACTTGTTCGTTTTCTTGTTGAAAAACCAGTCACAACCCTTGTGAAGGCTATGGGAAGGAACAGCCTGGAGTAGCGACCCTTTCCTTCTTCCACAAAACACTGTAACTTGACTGTGGACTGGCAACCCTTCATGCTCCAATAATAGATAATTGCCAACAGCAAAATTATCAAATGTAGCTATGTACTATGGAGTAGAACACAAGAAACATGCAAACATTTATATTTCCTTTTTGAATTATATCTGGACTGCAATAAAATACATTAATGCTTGTGTAAGAGAGAAGGAACAAGAGACACTGCAATTTTTCAGCAGACTCATAAATGCCAAAGTTTCACCTTTGCCCCTCCCCCAATTTATGAGCAATGATCTTTGGATTTGGCTATTTATTTGCTACTGAGAAACAATTGATGGATTAAACAAACCTACATTACCTGCAAATTTCTTTGAAGCAGAGGACTGTTGAATGACAAAGTATAAATTTCTTGATCCAAAAGAAGACTCATCCAGCCATTGGCATTTGATAAAGTGTCAGACACATAATTGACCGTGATCACCTTATTCCGACTATTAGTTACTGTTAAATTTGATGAAAATATTGGGGACTTTCTGAAAAAGAATTCACATTTATTTTCTATAATATTCACTTTGATACTTACTGTTGCTATGTCGATGCAGCATTTTAGCCCACCGTTGCCCTTCAAATACAGTATTTAGGCATGGATCAGCAAGCTCAGTTATCCCACTTCCCCATAAAAAATTTTCAGGTAGACAAGTCAGATTTGTTCAAGTGAATCAAGAATACCAGGAAAACTGCTTGGTAGTCAAGTTTTTTTATTTTGGGAATGACAAGCTTCTTGCAGTTGGAAGTAAAGATAAATCCATCATTCCCAGCTTTACTCATTTTTTTCATTTTCCACCAAAGAAACCAAATAATTTTTGTATAAGTTTTGTAGGGCTCCTCCTCCTGAATTCATTTGCAACAAATAATAGCATAATAATAATAACATGCCCATATATTTTCAAGTTGCTTACTGAATTCTACAAAATGCAAATTTTGATAATGTATTTAATTAAATTAATACAATGTATTTAATTCTGAGAGGTCCAAACTGGATAAATGCATGAAAATCAGAATAAAATAATTTCACTTCCATCCCTGGTGTTCCAAAACAATGGAGGATAACATGGATAGGTAGAAGAAGACACTTGAAAGGCAACAAATCGTTTTGATTCCTCAAAATGCCCAGGTAAATCATGAGCTGACTATTATATTTATCTTTCCAAACAATGCTTTCACTTCATACTGTCAGGCTAGCCCCAAAATAGAACTACTATATTGCTAACATAATTGAGCATTCCTACCACCATAATTAGCACCATTTTAATTTGCTCTAAATAGCCAGTGATTTTCACTGTGCCCTAAATAGCCACCAATCTACCTCTCTTTAATGTTAATGGAGCAGAGGAGGGCATGAGCATTTTTAATTTGGAGGAGCTGAGGGAGCCTGCATGGATCATTAATGGGAAAGTGTTTCATTACCAAAGGAGGAGGCAGCTCTCTAAGATCTGTTCTTGATTTTCTGAGGAAGAAACCAGGAGGAGGTAACCACAGTGGTAATGCGAAATTAACCCTTGGCTCAAACTTCCAGGAGCCTTTCAAAAGGGTTAAAAAGAAGAGAAAAACCTGGATGACTGATTGGCAATTCTGCATTTTTATATCCAGAGAAGTTTCAATTAAGAAGCAATTTGCGACAGAAAACTGGCATGACTAGTAGATAGAACTTTACAGTCTGCGTTACAATTTACCATCATGGTTCTTTAAGCTGTTATGTAATTTATCTCAAGTGTAGTGTGCAGAACTGTTGAACATAAATGGCTCACAAAGGGTTTGCTAAACCAATCAACAACTATGAGTAGAATAAATATTAAGCCTCCTGTTTATGTTTACCATTAGCTTACTTATCCTAAGGGGGTTCCACCCTCCCTTCCCCGCTTTGTATTATGGCAAACACTGTGTTTTACTTTAAATGCTTTCTGTTTGTTACCTTTGTGAAATAATCTGCTACAGTGATATATCTCAAGAAAAATAAAACAACAATGAAATTGGCTTCGAACGAGGCCAATGGAACATGCATCAATATTGCAATGTATTCTTTCAGAAATAGAAATGTAATAGTTTAGTAGACACCCGAGTGTCCAAGTTGCATTTTGCTTAAGGCCTTTCCCAATTGATGATTTGAAGTACTGTTCTCTCATCCTTGAATTGTCAACACACATACCAGCATGAAACAATAGTCCCAATTGCCAATCCTTGCTCTCTCTCTTTTATCTCTGTTCCCAAACACTACAGTCACCCAAATTCCCCTCAGGATAATGACGGGCAGATTTTCACACATTGAGACTATGCATGAACTATTATAGAATAAGAGGAGAAGGTGTAGTTTAACACCTGGGTGTAGTTTAACATCTGTCCACTAAGAAGAACGTAAGCTTATCTCATCTAAACACTGGGGATGAGTTGAACATAAGGTTATAGAGGCAAGGCAGAAAAAAAGATGTGATCAGGGCAAATACTGAAAGCATGACAACATGCTGTTATCCCAAAAATTTTAAAGTAAGTCCAAAAGTTTATTCAAGGATGTCTATGTATCTACCCAAGTTTTAAAACCTATGTAAAAGATCCAGTGTTCGCTTCTGAGGTCTATCTACTAGAATTTTCTGGTTTTAGGACGTGGCTTACAACCTTCACCACTGCTTTAAATCAGCTAACATCAATAGATCTATACCCTTAACATAATGTATTTTTATTTTAAAAACTACATTTTTCCTGTAATTACACTGTATGAAATTGCTGGATGTGCCTATCCCATTCATATGTGTTATTTCCCACTATGAAATGACTTTTGTGGTACTGGATGTTTTTAACACATTGTTTTCTCAAGGTTTCCTAAGCCAGAAACTTATTTTTGCAACCTATTATCTTGCTAAAGTGTGACTTCCTAAATTTTGTACAATTAATCGTGAGGAAAAACAAAAGAAAAAACTTACAGGCCAATAGACATACGATGAAAAATAACATTTCCAAAACAACAACTGGCACTGACAGCTTGACTGGCATTGACAATTGTCCTACAGGAATCTGGAAGTATATCTAGAGAAGGAAGGATCTGACTTCCTGGTTGTCCTGTGAGAGAGCCGTCTAGATCTTTGAGGATGGCGCAGTGAGGGAATGGAAATGATAGCCAGTTTGGAGCATTGAGGAGGAGGACTTGTTCTGTTCTGACAGTAAAACCTCCTGAAAAAGAAGAGGAACATGCTATATTATAGGATAATTAAGGGAAGCTATAAAATTCCATCCAATGAAACCTGAGGATTCAAAAATTTGGAATATGATGCTGGTGTTGTTGATCAAGTCAACAGCAGTTTTCTTGGCAATGTTTTCTTCTTGCTATGCCTCAGAGAGTGTGACTGGCCTCAGATCACCCAGTCTGCTTCTGTGCCCAGGGGTAGCGATTCACCCTTATAAATACTGCTTAAGATTATACTGTTTGATTTTAATGGATGTAAAATTCAAAAAACTAAACTTCAAATAGGAATAAAGAATTGTACTTCTTTAAATTAAACAAAAACAAACAGAATCTTGTAGCACCATCAAATAAATCTTCCATTAGTAAAGCATTTCCACAGTTTTTTGCCTGATGTTCCTAACTATTGACTGTTTTCACACATTTCCATTAGCGAAAATATCTGAACAGTTTTTAGAATGCATATTTTAGCCAAGAAATTGTCAAGCAAGAGGAAATCTGCAAGGATTGGAGAAGAGATAGTAATGTTTTTTTCTGATCCCAATGGCAGGTATCTCAAATAAGCAAGTATGTGAATCTAGTCACTAATTTCATGTCCTGGTTATTCCTGGCTCCATTTTAAAAACAGTATATGTTCTAGTAATGCATGGTTGCTATTATTACCCTGTTTCTCCAACAATACGGCCTCCCCCAATAGGAAGTCCCAGCATGTTTTATAGGCATGAAATGAAATTAAGCCCCTCCCCCCAAATTAAGGCCTATATTAAAACATGCGAAATGGGGGGAATGGTGGGGGGGGCTTGCCATTAGGAAGTACTTTTGTTGCACACCCGGATATGGTGCTGCCTGCGTTGACCCCGATACGAAGTGCCCCACCAACGCTGAGGTCAACATCCAAGCCGTCGCCGCCTGCCCGAAGATGCAAGGGGGGGGGAATTAAGTCACCCCCGAAAAGACGGCCTAGCCATTTTTTCGGGGCTCAAAAAAAAAATAAGACCCGGCCTTATTATATGAGAAACACGGTAATATTACTACTTCAGCTTTGATGTTTGTTTCCAAGAAGGAGTCTTTTTTCCCCCACACAGTTCTAAGCTATTTTTATTATTATTTAAATACAATTCTCTTGGAAAGACTAAAAATTGCCATGAGCATGAACAGTGAAAATTGGCTTATGTGAGGCAGCCGAACAGTACCTTGACAGGGAACTTTGTGTTTCTAGCACCATTCATCCCACTGGACCCTTTGTGCTTCTGGTGCTTCCTCTAAGCCAAAAGAGTCTTCTGAGCATGCCTCAAAATCAACATGAAAGCAGCATTTTCTTCTTTAGAAGTGAAGGATTGCATTGCTTCACAAAAGATCTTCAACGGGGTGCTTTGCTCAGAGCCTTGTTGAAACAAAGCATCTCTCCCAAGGTTTGCTTAGCCAGAATGGAAGCCAGCTAAGGAGAGAGCTTTTTTAATGGGAAAGGATGGGTTCCTAAACATTACTGCAGTTATATTCAATTGTCTTCAAGCACAAAGGTGGGATCCAACAGGAGATGGCAAAATACTATAATTCCAGACATAATAGATTGGATGGCTTTTCAGAGATGTGCAATTTAGCCAATTTTGAGAAAATTGTATATTCTGTTAATCGGAAAATGTCGTATTACCTCTGCCTTTTGAAAAAGTTCTTTAACAAGTGGGTGAATTTAGTTTTCCTCTTTAAAGACTTACAAAATCAGATTGATCAAGCTGAAATTACAAATTCTTTGTTGTTATTTTCTTTATATGTTATTCAATGTGTAATTTTTTCTTTCTCTTTTGTGATTTTTTTTTGTTTTTATGTATGTTTGCTTGAAAAGGTATGCATGTACATATGTATGTATATATGTGTATATGTGTATACATATATGACAAATGACTGTGGGGTTTATATCTTAGAACAATATATTTTATATGTGGTGAAAACATGAATGTTGAATATAAAATGGAGTCATTTTAACATAAAACAGTGAAAACAAGAATTGTGTATGTAGGTATGATTAGGGTAAATTGAAATGGTGATAAGGATATATGAGTTGAATTTCTGGTTGTTGTTTTTTAACAGAATACCAGAGTTGGAAGGTCTTCTAGTCCAATCCCCTGCTCAGGCACACAACCCTATACCAGTTTCTATTTTATTTTATTTTTTGCATTGCAATATGTTCTTGTGGCTAAACAATAAAGAGCTTTTCTCTTGTTGTTATTGTTGTTGGGGTTGTAATTCAAGATTCTGGTGGTGCAGTGGCTAAAATGTAGGCAAAATTTTGCAGGCAAAATCTGCCCATAGCCTTGAGTTCAATCCTGATGGAGTTCGATTGACTCAGTCTCCCATCCTTCCAAGGTTGGTAAAATGATGGCCCAGATTATTGGGGACCATATGCAAATACAGCTTTAACATTGTAAACCACCCAAAGAGTGCTGTAAAATGCTATGGGGCATATATAAACCTAAAAGCTATTGCTATTCTTTGGGAACTGCAAAATAGGCCTATATCTTTTTTTTAATTAAAATTAATTAGGTTGGTAGAGATGTGTGTGCTTGAATTTAAAGTAAAGTACATATGTTTATTGTGTAATAAGACTTCTTGGGTTTAAAAACTCTTATCCGAAGTATTACACTTATAATTTCTATTTTTATTTAGCCAATCAATTAGATCAAATTTCTCTTGTTGCTCTCTGTGTATAAAAGGTGAATTTATGCGACATGGGGCTTCCTCTACTCACTATGGCTCTCCACATGATAGGTCTGCAGACTTCAATCATGTGAAGAGCATCCATTGAGCAAAGAGGCTCTTCATGGTAGACCTTCACCTTCTACATATGGAAAACAGAGTCTGTATGCTTGTCCTTAGGTGACATCAACTCCATGGTCTCTTCTGGTGCCATATACTAGCAAATTTAAATGTCCTGTTTGAAAAATATGCATAGCCTTTGGATATGTGTATGTATATATACATATATACATATACATACAAACACATATATTGTTTATTTTCTATGAACTAATTAGAGCAAAAAGATTTGTAGAAAATCCTCTTTACTGCTCTTCACACTTAGTTCTTCTCATCACGACCATGTTCAGTACTGAAAATCTAACTTACCTTGACCCTGGTAGCAGCCAGAACAGGGAGTAATTGCAGTGCAGTTGTGACTGTCAAAGTTCATAAAGGTTGTACGTGAAATCAACAGTTCATGCTTTTGAGGAGTTTTCAGCCCTGTCAACATACAGCTTCCATCCTGCCACAAAAATGTAGAAATTGGCATTATGTTTGAAAAGAACATAGTTGTGTAAAATTAAGTTGTGTGTTAGCATGAATTCATAAGATGTTTATGTTTAAACTAGTTTAAGACAGTTGTCTTAATCCATCAAGCTCATTATAGATACTTTTAGATCCTGCCTTTTTCATGCAGAAGTTGGGACATGGGTAGAAGAGTCAAAACTGCATTTAGTACAGTACCACCAAGTCAAAGTTTGCTCTGGAAACTGCATGAATAAATACCTGCCATTATAATCTTAATTTGATAATAATTTGGAAATCTTCTATGAATGTTCTAGTAATCTCATTATTCATTCATTCATCAAATATATATACTGCTCATAATCTCAATTACTCTTGTCCATCTGCTGCATCTGTTACACTCTCATTCTCCTACTTCCCTCAACAACCATAATTTCTTTTGGTTCACCACAAACTCATATTACATGACCCTATTCATTCTTATTCTTATACTTTTTCTGTGTGTGTCATTTATTTATTATTAAATTTGTACCCAATCAACTCCCAACTATTTTGTGTGGCTCACCAATAGAGTTACAATCAGAAGCAAAAATAAGAAGCAAAAGCAAGATGACCGAAACTGGACAAGATTAGAAAAAAGAACTGATGCAGCCTTCATTCACCTTTGCTAAAGGCCTTGGAGAAAAGTTAAGACTTTATAGCTGTTCTAAACAATAACAAAGTGAGGGACATCCTGATTTCAGGGAGAATCTCACTCCAGAGGGCAGAACCTGCTACGGAGAAAGTAGGCTTCTAGGGTTCTGATAGGTGGCACTGTTTAATTGAAGGAAACCAGAGTGTGACAATCCTGTCAGGCAAAATGGGCACATACTGTGAGAATTAAGCAGTTGCCCACGTATCCAGGCCCTACAACATGGAGGGTTTTATAGGTAGTAGCCAACACTTGAATCACACTGAGAAACAAACTGACAAACAGTGAAATTCTTGGAGCAAAAGTGCTATATGGACATACCAAAGCAGTCCCATCATTGCTCATTCTGCTATATTCTGGACCAGTTGAAGCTTCTAGGTGTTCTTCAAGGACAGCCCCATGTACAACACATTGCAGTAGTCAAGCTGTGGTGATCAGAGTGTAGGAATTGTGTAAAGCACCTCCTGATCAAGAGCCTGTTCTCTGGCTCTGTTTATCCATGTTATATGTTTTGTGTTTTTAAAGCTCTCTGTGTTTTGCTACAGCTTATCTTTGTAACGGTCAGAAAATAATAAATGTACATAAATCAAAAGTTACATTGAAAAAAAACACAGATATCTAGAAATTACAATTACTTTTAAATTGTAATAGGTATTTAGCAGGAGTACACACATGACTCACATTTAAATTTCACCTGTTTTTCCTGTTAATTTTCAGTGGGTGTTGAATCAATGCAAAAAATAGGATTTAAAAAAATAATAATAATTGGTTAAAAGCATATTTTAAACATAAAAGGGTTTGCTGGGTGGAAGGTTTAACTTTCTTGTTAAATTAATGTCATAAAGTTTTAACTGATGTTAAAGAGACGTCATTATTAAAGGCTAGAATTACATAAATTAATATGTAAATTATGACATCTTTATCATGAGATAATCAAAGATAATCAGCCCCCTGGGGTGCTATAAGGAACAAGGCACAGCTGAGCGCCTCAAAATCTTTTAACAAGTAATATGGGAGAACTCAAAAGCTCAGTATCCCGAGACAGAAAAACCAAAGAAAATATTTTATTAGTGCTTGATGCAGCTTCATGTTAGCTGCATTCTAATCCTCTACCTATCTCCCATTCCTCTTTCTCTAGTTCTCTCTTCGTTCTTCACACTTACAGCAATCAAATTTAGTCGCTCTTATTCTTAACACTAAAATCTATTTCAAGATTCAATTTTTACATCCATTAGACTCATTTTAAGTTCCACTTCCCCAACCTTCACCTATGCAAAACAATCTTACCTCCCTTGCCTTGAGATATATTTTGGCATGGTGAAATTCCTGGAATATGTAGAAAATTAGTTTGAAGAAATCTTGCCATGTGGACTCTTATAATTCCAAGAGAAATATGCTTGCCTCTAGATTTTCATATCCTGGACTATTTTTGCCATATCATTGCCAAGGCAGCATAGGTCAATGGAAGATGGGGTGACAAATAGAGGAGGCAAGAGTAACACTATGATAAAAAAATGTCCTACTTTTTGATGAAATGCAATTTCTTTTTTGGAAATTTCCTTTAAAGTAGAGCTTCCAGTGTGGCTATGATGAACTAGAGGTCCTGGAAGGAGTAGAAACAGTCACTCAGAGATAGAACCCAGAGGCCCAATGCTGGACACTGAAGTCTCTCTGGATAAAAGAAAGGTTGCAAAATAGCCCACTTGTTTTCCAGACTGCTGCTCTTCATAAGTAAATATAAGGAATGGATATTTTTGAGTTTTGTTGCAAGTTGAACAGCTGGGAGGCATGGAATGCCATCTATGCTGACAGCCACAATGTAGCCTATATCAGGGGTTCCCTGGACTAGTACCAGGCTGCAACATGCCAGAAACCAGGCCACGCAAACAAGTGAAGGCCCATTCACGGGATGAAGGCAGCACACGAAATAATGCCTTATCTGGTCCCCAGAAATACCTCTCTCCACAGAAGCGGTTCCTAGTGGCCAAAAGGTTGGGGATTGCTAGCCTATAAGGACAATAAGTCCAGCATACATCTATGGAGATTCTCAGTCACCCAGGTTATGGTTGTCCCAAAGGTGCTTTTTCTCAAAATGCAACTGGACTTTCTTTCTTTTTTCCTTGGAGATGTTTTGCTTTTCATCCAAGAAGCTTCTTTTGAATGGTTTTGAATGGTGAGAATGGAAGGATTTATATTCCTTGCAGTCAGCTGGTCATTAGCACTCTGTCTGAGAGTCCTTTAGGCCACTTGGAGGCTTATCTGTGCCTTCAGGGTCACTTAAATAGTGCCAATGGGTGTGGAACCTTCTTGGAACTGCTGAAAAGACCATGTTGTAAACAGGAGATAGGTGGTGTTGTATCTTTCCCCCTCTGTTGAGAGAGGGTTGTTCAATCTTAACATAGATGGCCTCTTTGACCCCTCTTTCAAACCAGCAGTCCTCTCTGTCCATAATATGGACTTTGCTGTCTTCAAAAGAGTTATATTTGTCTTCCAAATGCAGATGAACTGCTGAATCTTGTCCTCATAGATTTGTTCTTCTATGTTGTTCCATGCATTTGTGAAGCGGTTGTTTTATTTCTCCAATGTACAGCACATTAGAGAAACAAAACAACCGCTTCACAAACCCATGACACCTCCAGCACTCAGAAAGAGTGCCAATGACCAGAAGACTGCAAAAAATACATAACTTTCCATTCTCCACTATTCAGTAAGAACTGAAGAAGCTTCTTGGATGAGAGATAAAATATCTTCAAGGACAAAGAAAGTCCAGTTGCGTTTTGAAAAAGCAACTTTGGGACAAGCCCAGTAGGCCTCATTTCTTATTTATTTTTGGATGTAACTATTTTACTGATTAAGAGAGATTTTCTTTTGTAGCAGGATAAGATTCATTTTTTTGCATTATAAAACTAAAAGAAATTTTAAAGATTTTAAGAATATCTGGCCAAAAGCTTATCAAAGAGATGATTTAAGAAACTTCATATAGACAGAGGAGACTATTGTTTTTAAAGATTATTTTGTGTTCTTTTGTGAGGAAGAACTACAAGTTTAAACTGTTCTAAACTTTTGTCTTAATCATGAATTACAAAAGTTTAAAATGGAATATAGATAAAACAAATGCTCTTTAAAATATTTTTTAAATCATTTGTAAAAAAAAATTACTTGCTTTAGAAAAAAG